GATCCACAATATTTTTAACTCTTGCCAATATAGATATACTTTTAGCCAATTTATTATGTATATATTTAATATGAGGTTTCCAACAGATTTTATCATCAATATTTATGCCTAGAAATTTTGTTTCGTAAACTCTTTCTATATTGGCATCCCCCACCCTTACTTGAATCTGACGATTTAATCTTCCATATCCAAACAGCATGAATTTTGTTTTGTCCAGATTTAGTGATAACTTATTCCTGTCACACCATTTCTTCACCTTGTCCAATTCCACAGTAATCAGACCCAAAAGTTGCTGTAGGTCTTCCCCAGAGGCCCATATAGTAGTATCATCAGCAAATAGTACAAAGTTCAATAATTCAGAAACATTGCATATATCGTTAATATACAGTATGAAAAGTTTAGGACCCAAAACTGACCCCTGTGGGACTCCACATACTATATCCAGAAAATCTGATTGGTGCACGCCCAGACTTACAAATTGCCGTCTGTTAGTCAAATAACTTTTTATCCATTTCAACACCAAACCTCTAATACCATACCTTTCTAATTTATCAAATAAAATTTCAAAGTTAATAGTATCAAAAGCCTTTTGAAAATCAATAAAAATCCCCAATGTTTGTTTCTTGTTGTCCCAGGCACTAGTAACACCTTCTACAAATTCAGTTATTGCAAGCGCTGTGGATCTATTAGATCTGAAACCATATTGCTTCTCAGTTAAAATTTTATGTTTGTCCAAAAATTTATCTAGTCTAGCATCAAAAAGTTTTTCTAAGATTTTAGAGAATTGCGATAATAAAGAAATAGGTCTATAATTTGTAATATTATGTCTATCTCCAGATTTATAAAGCGGAATAACCTTTGCTATTTTCATACTATTAGGAAATTTTCCTGATTGAAAGGACAAATTAAAGATATAAGTTAGTGGTTTAGAACAACCATCAATTACCGATTTAATAATAGTCCCCAATCAAAGGTGAGACAAGAGTATGTGGAAAAATGGGCTTCTCGTATGCAGGAGGCATACAAAATTGCATCAGAAAACAGTCAGAAAAACTCCGTCAAAAGGAAAAAGTATTATGATCAACATTCCAAGGGCATTCCTTTACAGCCAGGTGACCGAGTACTAGTTAGAAATTTTTCAGAACGCGGGGGTCCTGGTAAACTTCGAGCTTATTGGGAGAAGCGCGTTCATCATGTTGTTGAGAAGACTGGAGATGGACCTGTGTATCGAGTTCAACCCGAGACAGGTGACCGCAGTCTTTGTGTCTTACATCAAAATCTTCTGTTACCAGTCAATGATTTGCCACTGGAACAAAAACAACATCACAAAACAAACCAGAAAAGACAAAAACAGAGAAAAAAACAGACAAACTCAGGATGCTGCTGAGCCAGAGTCCGAACAGTCGGATGGGGAAGAAGAATACGCATATCGCTGGCACCGCGTACCTGTGTATCAGTGGATAGCCAGACCTCAGCCTCGATCACACCAGGAACTCAGAGCTGCAGCCCCTGACTTTCAGCCTGTAAGACAAAGTATTCAACCATCTACAGTGCAGGAGCATTGTGCCCCACCTTGAGTTGCAGTACAATGTCCAAGGGTAATGGTAAATGGTAAATGGACTGTATTTTATATAGCGCTTTCTCACAGTGTGTTGCACTGGCCAAAGCGCTTTACAGAGATGATACACCATTCACCCATTCACACACAACATTCACACACTGATGACGACAAGCTGCCATGCACCGGCGCTAGTCAAGCCACCAGGAGCAATTCGGGGTTCAGTGTCTTGCTCAGGGACACTTAGGCATGCGGGGAGCCCGGGAGTCGAACCACCAACTTGCTGGTCAGGAGACGACTGCCCTACCTCATGAGCCACAGGATAAGCAGCTGATTACTGCTGACAGACTGAGAATCATCATGATGAAATGCCAGATGTTGAGTACAGTTCGCAATATTTTTTGGCACTGCGAGCCATGGAACAAAACTAAAACTTTAGAGTGTTGCCTTTGGGACAGCTTTATGATTTAACTTGATAAAATAAACTGCTTTCAGTCAGTTTCAGTATTTTCTACTGTCATCCTCTTTTTGCTAGATTTTCTTACTGCAAAACATGTGCAGATGCTATGAAAGTGGCTTCTGTTCCTAGTGTGGATCACACCATTATTTGAACCTTACAGTATATTATGAGAAAATCCGCTGGTGTGATCATTAGCTAAGAACCAGAGAAGACGAAAGATGCTGAAGATTTTATGTAACAATGCTTCCTTAATGCCTGTCATCATTTACGTACACAGGACAGGAATATTTCAGATATTACATGCTTGACAAGTTGTAGCAGCAGCTTCTTCAAATGTCTGATGAGGTACATGCCCTCAAACTGATGCGGCCGTCTTTCCTCATTTTGTTTGGCTCACTCAGGGGAAAAGAAAACATGCAATGTAACAATGGAGTGCCGCGATGAGGCTTTATTTCATCCAAACAAGTTGGTGTGTGTTGCTGTCCTAATTATAAATACTCCAGCAAAACCATTAGCAATAAAACTGTGAAAATCATGAGAAGAAAACCAAACAGGTGTGCTTCTCTTGCACTGAAGTACAGCTTTATTACATATCTTTTATAGTCTCCAGGCCCAAGCCAGGACGAAAGGCAGCATTCTATAATCACTGGGTTTTGAATTCATGCAACGAGCTGGAAACAGAAACTTAAAAGCTCTTATTGATGAGATATGGTATAAGGGAATTTTGTATTTACTAGGGCTGGACCCAAATATTCAACTGTTCAAACATTTGTTTGTTGGGTAGGTAATCTGTTTTCTATATTAGTAGGCTATTCAGATATTTGAGACAGCAGGAAATTTCAATGCAGTTTGAGTCTGATGATCAAGAGGAAAGAAAACAGAATGCAGAAAGTTTGGTCCACTAGCTGGTACGTACTAGGGATGACAGGCATCCCTAGTGCTCTGTCAAGATCTGTTCCCCAGATCTACCCTGAACCCTGACCTTAGCCTCACTATGACCACAGAGGGGGACACTACTATAAACACAGTTCCAATAGGGGGAAACATCTGGGAGCAAATTAAACGCAAGACCAGTATTGTGATTTAAACCAGTAAGTATCACACTGTTAATTGTAAAATAACTCCAAATATGTCCAGGTAACATCACTTGATTTGAAATTTTCTGAAATAAAATGTAAAGGGGGAGACATTTGATCAGCAGATTTCAGAGCTTAGCTTTTTCTTCTGTGTCAAAATCCTCCCCAAGTTGATGGTTCAACTCAGGTTTACTCACTGATAAGGAATTTTATAATTATCTATCCAACACTATTAGTTCATTTATTGAGACTAGTAAGAATGATATTGTCTCTTTTCCTTCTCTGGGAAATATTCAAGGTGGTGATCAGGACAGATTTAAACCCAAAAAGATCATCTTAACCTTTTTTTATTCCAGAATGTATCAGTCAGAACCTCCAGTGGATAGGCTGGTTATGTTGATTCTCGGTGACCTGATTTTCCCCTTTGTTTGAAGTATTTAGATACGTGCTATAACAAAAATGAAAGGTGGCCCAATTGGCTTCCCTGCTGATTTTTAGAAAAATCTTTTTAATCTTTCATCACCTTTACTTTTAGACATGTTTAATGACTACATCATGGTTTTCACCCCCATACATTAACTCATTCTCAAGAAAAATAAGGATCCAAAACAATGTAATAATTGCAGACTAGTAAGTTTATTAAATGGATGTAAAACTTTTGCTAAGATTTTGGCATGTGATTTAGATCCCTTTCTGCTTCTGGAAAATTATATCAATAGACCAGGCTGATCTTGGAATATTGGTCATCTTTTAAATATTGTGTTGAGTCTATTGGAGCTCGAAGGTCCAATCCCTTTGTTAGAAATTATCTAGAAATTCTCCTAGTTCTTTTGCTGGAAGCACGAGAAGTGAAGACAGGAGAGGACTGTTTAAAAGCAACAGAAAGTTTACTGAAAGTCTGATCACAAGAAAGTCTTACAGCGCTGGGATCAGAGAGACAGAGCTCCCGCAGGAGTTCCATCCACTGACCCCGAATTAAGGTCTTACAATACATTTTATCTTCTTGGGCTGCTCTGCCCTAAACAAAGGTACAACAATTCATGCATTGTAATCCTATTGGTCATTTGGTGTGAGCAGGAGCTCGCACCTCCTTGCTGGAATGTGATCTACACCAGGTGTGTGTGTGTCTCCGGCACCCTGATCTTGATCAAGGTGCACAGAACAATGGGGTGGCCTGAGTTGCAGGCCCCCTGTGTGTGTGATACTAATTTGTATGTTAAACTGGCCTGGCGCTGCAGGACATCCCAAGACAAAGCAGAATCTTGGAATATGCTAAGTGGGTCTAGGTATGAGTGTAAAACAGGCCTTTGCTAAAATGTAAATAGGCTGTCTGGTCACAAAGAGATGCAGACATCTAGTCTCTACACAGAAGTTACAGCATTCAAAGTAAGCAGATTCTACTTCATTACAGCTGTAAGATATATATATATATATAAGCAAGGGAAACAAATGCATTAAAATAACCAAAGCTCAATAGTTCTGGACAATCATCAATACAGCTGTAATATGCATAAACAAGTAAGATAAATTTATGAAAGGTAACTACAGGTATGAGAAGTAACTAAAGCTTTTAAAGTAACTAGAGTCTATAAGACTCAAATCTTACACCTTGATGCTGAAAAGACATCTGATAGGGTAAACTGGGACTGCCTTTATTCTGTCTTGGAAAGATTTGGATTTGGTTTCCAGCCATCCACCCATTATCTATACCGCTTAATCCTTTACAGGGTCGTGGGGGGACTGGAGCCAATCCCAGCTGGCACTGAGTGAGAGGTGGGGTACAGCCTGAACAGGTCACCAGTCTATCACAGGGCTGACACTTAGAGACAGACAACCACACACGCTCACACTCACTCCTATGGGCAATTTAGAGTCACCAATCAACCTAAGCTGCATGTCTTTGGACTGTGGGAGGAAGCCGGAGTACCCGGAGAGAACCCACGCAGGCACAGGGAGAACATGCAGACTCCACACAGAAAAAACCCAGGTTGGCCGGGGCTCAAACCCAGAACTTTCTTGCTGTGAGGCGACAATGCTAATCACCGCGCCACTGTGCCACCCCTATGAATACACCTTTTAAACAAAACTGGCTTTGATGGATCAAGTTGGGGTCAATATTTCTAAATGGGGCTGTCTCACCTTCTCTTTGGTTGGCAGAATTAATTCAATAAGGATGAACATTCTCCCTAGATTTCTTTTCTTTTTTTCAGTGCCTCCTGAATTGTAGACTGTGCTGTTTGCAACCTTCCTGAATTTGGTTGTTTCAATATTTGTTGTATATTTTCTCAATGCTGTGTGAATTTTGGGACAAATTGGTGCAAATGTTTTCTTAACTTGCAAGTGTTTGCTCTACTTGCATGTGTTTTCTCAAGTTGCAGTGCAGAGTTTAGACTGCTTGCACTGATGAAGGCATACAAGTACAAATATTTTGTGATTTGATTTGATGCTGCTGATCGTGGACTTGTGGAGCCTAGCATGACAATCTCTTTAGAGTAATCTTGTATAGCCGGATCCTCAAACTGGTTACTGTCCTTTCCCAGTACTGCTCCTTTCTCTGCAGGGTACTCTTGAGGTCCTGTATGGTCTGAAGGTACTCTGCCTTTTCCTGTTCATACTTCAGATGAGCCTTCTTCAGGTCATCAGTTTGGGTCATCTCACTGGAGGCTCTGCATTTCTCAGTTTCATCAAGCAGGGAGGCGTTTTCCTTTTGCAAGCTAAGGTTCTCAATCTTTAGACCTTGCTCCAGCTGGGCCTTCATAGAGCTCCCTGTCCTCTCCAGCTCCTGCTCCTTTCTCTGCAGGGTACTCTTGAGGTCCTGTATGGTCTGAAGGTACTCTGCCTTGTCCTGTTCATACGTCAGATGAGCCTTCTTCAGGTCATCAGTTTGGGTCATACACAGCTTTTTGTGTTCATTCAACTGTGTCATGAGGGAGGTTTTCTCATTCTGCCACTGGACGTGGTGACACTCTAGCTGTTCTTCTTTGTTCTTTAGTGCTGCCATGAGATTGCTCTTCTCTTGCAGTAGATTACTGTGCTCAGTCTCACTGGAGGCTCTGCATTTTTCAGTTTCATCTAGCAGGGAGGCTTTTTCCTTTTGCAAGCGAAGGTTCTCAATCTTTAGACCTTCTGAGTTACTAAGTTCAGCTTCCAACTTTCTGGTCTCTGCTCTGTGTTGCTCCAGCTGGGCCTTCATAGAGCTCTCTGTCCTCTCCAGCTCCTGCTCCTTTCTCTGCAGGGTACTCTTGAGGTCCTGTATGGTCTGAAGGTACTCTGCCTTGTCCTGTTCATACGTCAGATGAGCCTTCTTCAGGTCATCAGTTTGGGTCATACACAGCTTTTTGTGTTCATTCAACTGTGTCATGAGGGAGGTTTTCTCATTCTGCCACTGGACGTGGTGACACTCTAGCTGTTCTTCTTTGTTCTTTAGTGCTGCCATGAGATTGCTCTTCTCTTGCAGTAGATTACTGTGCTCAGTCTCACTGGAGGCTCTGCATTTTTCAGTTTCATCTAGCAGGGAGGCTTTTTCCTTTTGCAAGCGAAGGTTCTCAATCTTTAGACCTTCTGAGTTACTAAGTTCAGCTTCCAACTTTCTGGTCTCTGCTCTGTGTTGCTCCAGCTGGGCCTTCATAGAGCTCTCTGTCCTCTCCAGCTCCTGCTCCTTTCTCTGCAGGGTACTCTTGAGGTCCTGTATGGTCTGAAGGTACTCTGCCTTGTCCTGTTCATACGTCAGATGAGCCTTCTTCAGGTCATCAGTTTGGGTCATACACAGCTTTTTGTGTTCATTCAACTGTGTCATGAGGGAGGTTTTCTCATTCTGCCACTGGACGTGGTGACACTCTAGCTGTTCTTCTTTGTTCTTTAGTGCTGCCATGAGATTGCTCTTCTCTTGCAGTAGATTACTGTGCTCAGTCTCACTGGAGGCTCTGCATTTTTCAGTTTCATCTAGCAGGGAGGCTTTTTCCTTTTGCAAGCGAAGGTTCTCAATCTTTAGACCTTCTGAGTTACTAAGTTCAGCTTCCAACTTTCTGGTCTCTGCTCTGTGTTGCTCCAGCTGGGCCTTCATAGAGCTCTCTGTCCTCTCCAGCTCCTGCTCCTTTCTCTGCAGGGTACTCTTGAGGTCCTGTATGGTCTGAAGGTACTCTGCCTTGTCCTGTTCATACGTCAGATGAGCCTTCTTCAGGTCATCAGTTTGGGTCATACACAGCTTTTTGTGTTCATTCAACTGTGTCATGAGGGAGGTTTTCTCATTCTGCCACTGGACGTGGTGACACTCTAGCTGTTCTTCTTTGTTCTTTAGTGCTGCCATGAGATTGCTCTTCTCTTGCAGTAGATTACTGTGCTCAGTCTCACTGGAGGCTCTGCATTTTTCAGTTTCATCTAGCAGGGAGGCTTTTTCCTTTTGCAAGCGAAGGTTCTCAATCTTTAGACCTTCTGAGTTACTAAGTTCAGCTTCCAACTTTCTGGTCTCTGCTCTGTGTTGCTCCAGCTGGGCCTTCATAGAGCTCTCTGTCCTCTCCAGCTCCTGCTCCTTTCTCTGCAGGGTACTCTTGAGGTCCTGTATGGTCTGAAGGTACTCTGCCTTGTCCTGTTCATACGTCAGATGAGCCTTCTTCAGGTCATCAGTTTGGGTCATACACAGCTTTTTGTGTTCATTCAACTGTGTCATGAGGGAGGTTTTCTCATTCTGCCACTGGACGTGGTGACACTCTAGCTGTTCTTCTTTGTTCTTTAGTGCTGCCATGAGATTGCTCTTCTCTTGCAGTAGATTACTGTGCTCAGTCTCACTGGAGGCTCTGCATTTCTCAGTTTCATCTAGCAGGGAGGCTTTTTCCTTTTGCAAGCGAAGGTTCTCAATCTTTAGACCTTCTGAGTTACTAAGTTCAGCTTCCAACTTTCTGGTCTCTGCTCTGTGTTGCTCCAGCTGGGCCTTCATAGAGCTCTCTGTCCTCTCCAGCTCCTGCTCCTTTCTCTGCAGGGTACTCTTGAGGTCCTGTATGGTCTGAAGGTACTCTGCCTTGTCCTGTTCATACGTCAGATGAGCCTTCTTCAGGTCATCAGTTTGGGTCATACACAGCTTTTTGTGTTCATTCAACTGTGTCATGAGGGAGGTTTTCTCATTCTGCCACTGGACGTGGTGACACTCTAGCTGTTCTTCTTTGTTCTTTAGTGCTGCCATGAGATTGCTCTTCTCTTGCAGTAGATTACTGTGCTCAGTCTCACTGGAGGCTCTGCATTTCTCAGTTTCATCCAGCAGGGAGGCTTTTTCCTGTTTCCACTGGAGGCGCTCATTCTGCACCATCTCTTTGAATGTCTCTAGATCAGCCGCAAGCTGCTGTGCCTCTTTCTTCCATCCATCCATCCATTTTCTTCCGCTTATCTGCGACCCGGTCCCGGATAAGCGGAGCCTCCAGTGAGACTGAGCCTCTTTCTTTTGCTGCTCTATTTGGGCAGCATAGCACCACTGGGTTTTGTCCAGGTCTGCCTGGAGGGAACAACTCTCCTTCTGCCTCTGCTGCTCTGCCTCCTTCTGAGCAGTAATCAGCTGCTTATTCTCAAGACAGCAGCTGTTGAGCTGTTGTTCTTCGGCGTTGGTCGGTAGGGCCTTCAGTTTTTTGTTTTCACTTTTTATTTTGTTAAACTCAGCCTCAGTGCTGGCTCTCTGCAACTGCTGCTCTGCCTCCTTCTGAGCAGTAATCAGCTGCTTATTCTCAAGACAGCAGCTGTTGAGCTGTTGTTCTTCGGCGTTGGTCGGTGCGGCCTTCAGTTTTGTGTTTTCACTTTTTATTTTGTTAAACTCAGCCTCAGTGCTGGCTGTCAATTGCTGACACCCTCTTTCCGATATTTTATATTCCATTGATCTATCACATGGATTTAATGAAGGTTCCAGCATTTCGAGGTCCAGAGGATGGACCATATTTTTTTCCCACCTCCTCTTCTGTTTTTGTTTCTCAGTACTCTTTGTACTCTGTGAACACCCCATAGCAAAAACAAACTTGTCAATATTATACAGTACACAACTTCTGAAATCCTTGACTACTCAAAATCAGCTCGCAGCTCCTCTGCTAACTGTAGCGCTAATGTGAAGTCTGTGTAACTCAGTGTGTGACGTCATCAGGTTTGTTCCTTTGATGGTGGCTGACTTCCTTAGAGCTGGAAATATATTCACAGATTCGAAGTTTCCGGATCAAGAAGTATATAAGCAAAATGTTTTTATAAACACAAACGACGCCTCTTTTGTTTTATGATAATGTAGACAACAAGCTACGAGCTCATTTTTGTGACTACGAGCCGTCGTCTCCAGACGAACACCGCGCCGGTCTCACTGTGCAGCGGCTAACCAGCGGCTAACCAGCGTGCAGGCCTACTATAAAACTATTCAATAACATTATTCATACCCATGAGTTGCTTAACTTCTAAACCAGTTTACTAGCGAGGTTGTTTATGCGCCTTACATCATTTTTAAAACTGCTTTAGAATAGCATTTTGTGATGTCAGCCATTTCTATTCTAAGTAAATTAAACTCTGTTGTATTCACTTTTATTATTCATTGCTGTTATGCTGCTTGTTCCTCCTGTTATTTTTGTTACTTTTATGTTTAGCGTTAAAGTTTGAAGTTTAACGGCGAAACATGTTACATAAAGCAATTTTACACTGTTAGTTGTACATCAATGCATAATTGTACGACACTGTGATGAAACATGCAAATTGTTGATTGTATTTGTTTAAAAACGTGACTCAGTGAAATAGATTCAGTAAATAAAATTAAATACATTTTAGGTATGTTTTGTTATTTTGCGGATGTATTGTAGATGAACAGGTGATGTAGCCATCAATACATCCACCTGCTGCTCATAATCTCCTGGTCCTGTTTCGTATTTAAAGGGCCTTTTTCTGTTAGCTCCCGGCTGGTTCGTCACATGCTCCCCTTCTTTTGCAATTCAAGTTTAATGTGTAGCTGCTTAGCAGTTACTCGGGGGGTAAAGCAGTTGGATAAATGTATAATTTGGAGTTCATGTCGGCTACTGTATGTAGCGTTAGCGAGGATTTAATGTTAGCGTGTAACGTTAGCAAAGCTCTGCTAGCAAGAAGCCTCTGGGGCTGAAGGCGAGCCAGGTGTGTCCTCTAATTAGCTCCATGTGTGGTTAGCCTTCCGATACGCTGTTGTTTTGTCTTATTGTGTTCATTCTAACAACGAGGTTGATTGAAACTTGCTTCTAGGAAACGTTGCCGTGACTTAGCGGTAACTAGCCACCTATCCACGGTTGGCTCTGTAGTATGACTGGCAGCGTTATGGCAACGGTAGTGTTACATATGGAATATGTCCGGATTAACTTTGGCACTCTCTTGTTTTAAACATCCAACCAGTTAACTAGTATCTAGGGGGACATTGGTCTTTGACACGGATTTCTTTGTTGTAGTGGAGAAACCCTTTTAGCTAAGTACATCAGTATTGAGTTTTCTGCCACGTCTGTGTGAGATGGAGCCTCCGTTTAGATTAAAGTCCAGACAAACCATCAGCTGCCAGCCCTCATTAATGAATGGCCCGAAAAGCCTGTTTTGTTTAAAATAAGATCTTATTCCTAAAGGCTCTATTCCATTATAAAGCCTCGTCCGGTTCTTTCAAACCAGGAACTCCGAGGGACGACTCAGACCACTTGAGTATATAAAAAATATAACCGTGCTGGTTTATTCAAAGAGTCACAGGCAAGAATTCACACTTCCAGTCCAGAGATCTTCCAACCCCCAGGCTGCCAAAGCAGCCCGGAAGTCATGAGGGAGGTTTTCTCATTCTGCCACTGGACGTGGTGACACTCTAGCTGTTCTTCTTTGTTCTTTAGTGCTGCCATGAGATTGCTCTTCTCTTGCAGTAGATTACTGTGCTCAGTCTCACTGGAGGCTCTGCATTTCTCAGTTTCATCTAGCAGGGAGGCTTTTTCCTTTTGCAAGCGAAGGTTCTCAATCTTTAGACCTTCTGAGTTACTAAGTTCAGCTTCCAACTTTCTGGTCTCTGCTCTGTGTTGCTCCAGCTGGGCCTTCATAGAGCTCTCTGTCCTCTCCAGCTCCTGCTCCTTTCTCTGCAGGGTACTCTTGAGGTCCTGTATGGTCTGAAGGTACTCTGCCTTGTCCTGTTCATACGTCAGATGAGCCTTCTTCAGGTCATCAGTTTGGGTCATACACAGCTTTTTGTGTTCATTCAACTGTGTCATGAGGGAGGTTTTCTCATTCTGCCACTGGACGTGGTGACACTCTAGCTGTTCTTCTTTGTTCTTTAGTGCTGCCATGAGATTGCTCTTCTCTTGCAGTAGATTACTGTGCTCAGTCTCACTGGAGGCTCTGCATTTCTCAGTTTCATCCAGCAGGGAGGCTTTTTCCTGTTTCCACTGGAGGCGCTCATTCTGCACCATCTCTTTGAATGTCTCTAGATCAGCCGCAAGCTGCTGTGCCTCTTTCTTTTGCTGCTCTATTTGGGCAGCATAGCACCACTGGGTTTTGTCCAGGTCTGCCTGGAGGGAACAACTCTCCCTCTGCAACTGCTGCTCTGCCTCCTTCTGAGCAGTAATCAGCTGCTTATTCTCAAGACAGCAGCTGTTGAGCTGTTGTTCTTCGGCGTTGGTCGGTGCGGCCTTCAGTTTTGTGTTTTCACTTTTTATTTTGTTAAACTCAGCCACAGTGCTGGCTGTCAATTGCTGACACCCTCTTTCCGATATTTTATATTCCATTGATCTATCACATGGATTTAATGAAGGTTCCAGCATTTCGAGGTCCAGAGGATGGACCATATTTTTTTCCCACCTCCTCTTCTGTTTTTGTTTCTCAGTACTCTTTGTACTCTGTGAACACCCCATAGCAAAAACAAACTTGTCAATATTATACAGTACACAACTTCTGAAATCCTTGACTACTCAAAATCAGCTCGCAGCTCCTCTGCTAACTGTAGCGCTAATGTGAAGTCTGTGTAACTCAGTGTGTGACGTCATCAGGTTTGTTCCTTTGATGGTGGCTGACTTCCTTAGAGCTGGAAATATATTCACAGATTCGAAGTTTCCGGATCAAGAAGTATATAAGCAAAATGTTTTTATAAACACAAACGACGCCTCTTTTGTTTTATGATAATGTAGACAAGCTACGAGCTCATTTTTGTGAAAACGAGCCGTCGTCTCCAGACGAACACCGCGCCGGTCTCACTGTGCAGCGGCTAACCAGCGGCTAACCAGCGTGCAGGCCTACTATAAAACTATTCAATAACATTATTCATACCCATGAGTTGCTTAACTTCTAAACCAGTTTACTAGCGAGGTTGTTTATGCGCCTTACATCATTTTTAAAACTGCTTTAGAATAGCATTTTGTGATGTCAGCCATTTCTATTCTAAGTAAATTAAACTCTGTTGTATTCACTTTTATTATTCATTGCTGTTATGCTGCTTGTTCCTCCTGTTATTTTTGTTACTTTTATGTTTAGCGTTAAAGTTTGAAGTTTAACGGCGAAACATGTTACATAAAGCAATTTTACACTGTTAGTTGTACATCAATGCATAATTGTACGACACTGTGATGAAACATACAAATTGTTGATTGTATTTGTTTAAAAACGTGACTCAGTGAAATAGATTCAGTAAATAAAATTAAATACATTTTAGGTATGTTTTGTTATTTTGCGGATGTATTGTAGATGAACAGGTGATGTAGCCATCAATACATCCACCTGCTGCTCATAATCTCCTGGTCCTGTTTCGTATTTAAAGGGCCTTTTTCTGTTAGCTCCCGGCTGGTTCGTCACATGCTCCCCTTCTTTTGCAATTCAAGTTTAATGTGTAGCTGCTTAGCAGTTACTCGGGGGGTAAAGCAGTTGGATAAATGTATAATTTGGAGTTCATGTCGGCTACTGTATGTAGCGTTAGCGAGGATTTAATGTTAGCGTGTAACGTTAGCAAAGCTCTGCTAGCAAGAAGCCTCTGGGGCTGAAGGCGAGCCAGGTGTGTCCTCTAATTAGCTCCATGTGTGGTTAGCCTTCCGATACGCTGTTGTTTTGTCTTATTGTGTTCATTCTAACAACGAGGTTGATTGAAACTTGCTTCTAGGAAACGTTGCCGTGACTTAGCGGTAACTAGCCACCTATCCACGGTTGGCTCTGTAGTATGACTGGCAGCGTTATGGCAACGGTAGTGTTACATATGGAATATGTCCGGATTAACTTTGGCACTCTCTTGTTTTAAACATCCAACCAGTTAACTAGTATCTAGGGGGACATTGGTCTTTGACACGGATTTCTTTGTTGTAGTGGAGAAACCCTTTTAGCTAAGTACATCAGTATTGAGTTTTCTGCCACGTCTGTGTGAGATGGAGCCTCCGTTTAGATTAAAGTCCAGACAAACCATCAGCTGCCAGCCCTCATTAATGAATGGCCCGAAAAGCCTGTTTTGTTTAAAATAAGATCTTATTCCAAATATCAGCAGGTTTTTATTGATGGAAGCAATACCCGGATTTAACGACATCAAAAAATATGATGACTTCATGTTAAAACAGGGTGTCCTGTTAACAATGTATAGCATTTCATGTCTAAATCTAGATTACCAAAGGTCTGAGGATCCAGAACTGAAGAGTAACTGGAGGATGACTTGTATAAAGCTGCAAGTAAGAAGTAAATTCACAGCTCAGCACCTGTAACAGTTGGATTTTGTGTAGAAAATACTAAACACAGACAGATGTGCACTTCAAATGAAGACTTTTACAATAAAAAGTTTATCATAGTGATATTTGTGACACACTTGTCTTATTCCACACCTTTTGTACATTCAAGGTGGCGGTGGCCAGAGGATCCTGTCTCTAATGGCTACACAAACAAGATGCTCCAGATGATCACCAACAATGGGAAACACATGCTTTACATTTTCCTCTTCCATACCAAATTGACACTACACCCCTTCTCTATTAAGCTGTGGATGGGTAAGTTCACCTAAACAATGGTCTAATTTATACATAGATTTGTACAAAATATTGTCCATCTTAAGAGATGCTCTGGGTGGGCTTTTTTTAGGATGCAGTGTATGGGGTGGTTGTTTATTGTATTGCTGTATGAAGAATGTCTTTTGTTCTTCATGAATGAAGGTCGGTGGCACTAATCTGACACAAGGTGAGGGATGGATTCAGTAGTTTTTGTAGAATTTTTAATTACCATTACAGGGTTTCTCATCCGTTGTTGGCTTCATACTAAATTTTGAATATAGACCTTGTGGTGTGATCAAAACCTACAGAGCTGCCTACATGTATGTAGAATTATATTTTTACTGTACTGGTACTTGATAGTACTTTATTACCCATGTTCACTTGCTGTATTTTGGCAATATGCACAACAGTAGGACTAACCGTACTTTGCATAGATGATATATATACACAATATTTACGTAGTTCATTACCCCCACTGTTTTCATGAAAGGCAAGTTTAACTGTTAATGTATTTCCCTAAAAAGCCTCCAGTTAGTCCAAAATGCTGCAGCCAGAGTACTGACAGGAACTAGCAAGAGAGATCATATTTCTCCCATATTAGCTTCTCTCCACTGGCTCCCTGTAAAATTCAGAATAGAATTTAAAATCCTTCTCCTAACATACAAAGCCCTTAATGACAAGGCTCCATCGTATCTTAAAGACCTCGTAGAGCCTTATCATCCTAACAGAGCACTTTGCTCTCAGAGTGCAGGTTTACTTGTGGTTTCTAGAGTCCACAGAAGTAGAAGGGGAGGCAGAGCCTTTAGCTATCAAGTCCCTCTCCTATGGAACCAGCTCCCAGTCTCAGTTCGGGAGGCGGACACCCTCTCTACGTCTCTGATGAGCAGTCACTGGACACATCAACTTGACCAGTGTTTGTTTGTTGTGTCTTGTTGATCCACTCACCCCAACCAGTCGAGGCAGAAGGCCACCCACCAAGAGCCAGGGTCTGTCAGCGGTTTCTTCCATTAAAGGGAGTTTTTCCTCCCCACTGTCGCCACGTGCTGCTCAGGGGGGGGTTGTTGGGTTTTCCCTCTGTTATAATAATGATGATGATATTAGTAATATTATTAAGGTCTAGACCTTACTTTGTAAAGTGTCGTGAGATGACTTTTGTTGTGATTTGGCGCTATACAAATTTGATTTGATTTCAACACTTTTCATATATCTGCTGCACAATGTATTTGAATACAGTGCACCTGAAGACCTCCTGAGGACTTCAGCTCCAGAATGTGGAGGCACGTGGCCCAGTGAAGACGACGACCCAAAGCCTTGTGGCTTCACACTACAAAGCTCCAGACAATTCAGATGGTGGGTGAGTAAATTGTTCAGACCATTGTGAAATATGTTGTATTAAATTCTTATTACTGTGGCTAGCTTCTCAAAGTGAATTTCAATATTCCTTCAGTATTGCTACAGAGTAGTTTAAATTAAGATCAAATTTGCATGGCCTGTTTCAGAAATTGAAGGTAAACACAAATGATAATTGTTAAAGTGAATGTTCCTGTAGGCTTGAGATGAACCCAGGAGAGGGACGACACCAGCAGTACGGCCTTTTCTTGGGACTTGCCACCACTAATACAAAGACAGCTATTTCAACATGTGGTGAGATGACATCTTGTATTTCAAATATGTATATATGATACTTTAACTACCCTTTCCATAATTCTGAAATGTCATTACATTTTGTAAAATGTCAGTGTTTCCTCTTTTGCTGTTGCACTTCAGGGCAACCATAGTTTTCCCTTCCATTTGTTGCCAAATGCTTGTTCAAGGGGGATTTGTTGGGTTTTTTCTCTATAACACTGTAAATGTCTTGACCTTGCTATGTAAAGTTCCTGGAGATTATTTTTGTTGTGATTTGGTGCAATTGAAATAAAACTGAACTGCACCCAGTTCATTTGCATTTGTTACCAGAATTTGATGGTCAAATAGGTGTACACCCTGGTTTATGAAAGAAACACATGCTTATGCAGGAGATAAGAACACTAATGGTGGGACTCTAAACTGGAGACATTCTGCCTCTCATGACGTGTGTATGGAATTACAAGTGTGCTGTGTCCACTGCTAAACCAGCATGTTTCTTTAATGGGTTTATTACTGAGGTCATAAAAGCGTTGTACTGCACTGTTTTATATTCAGCAGTGTCTATACTTTTTGTCTTCCTTGTGTATGTAAATGGAAATCAGGTGAGAAAAAAGAGCTCTAGGAAAAAGGACTTTTTGATGCTTCTTTATAAAAACAAACTGAAGTATACAACTTGATGTGATGTTTACACATTTTTTAAAATGTACCAAAGCACCTGACTATAGAAGTCTAAGTAGCATGCAGACCCAGCATGTTACTAATTTATACAACTATCACTGAGTGTAGCAATGACCAATTAAATATGGAATCAAACTGCAGAGCCCTTTTTAAATGAGAGCATATAATGTCAGTGTTTGCCAAGAGATTATAGCTACCTAGCGAAGTTTGACTGTCTTAGTCACAAACTGATTAATTATTAAGCTAAAGGTTAACTGTACAGATTCACATACCTGATTGGTTTACCAGGAAAACTAACTTTGTTACAGAGTCAGAAAGACTCACAGGAGAAACACCGGAGAACTGAGGGTCTATTAGAAGACAAGCAATCTGGAAGATTGGAATCAACATGTCTACCGGACATACTACAGGTTTGTTCTTTTAACTAGGTTTTATACTCTTAGCATGTGGCAGAATAACGATGTGAATAAGTAGCCATTTGTCATAGGGTGAATGTTATAGACATTGATAAATGTATTACTAGGGTGTAATCTCCACCGGGGACTAGCTAGGGGACATATTTCACCTAAAATATGAAAAAGAAATTTCCCCCCTCCCCATATTTCTCATGACCAGTCATCAAATGCCTCCTAAATCTAAGAACCTAGATGCTCTCTATTCCACTGTTAAACCAAGTCCAAAACCTACTGATTATTCACTGAGCTCCTCCTGCTTCATGTCGGTGTCAACATGTCAACTAGCAACAGTGAACGCACTGGCTCAAGTCTTCTCTTAGTGTGGAGAATGTGCCCCTCACTTACAGCTTTTTTTAAACAAAGCCTAAAATTCGTCTTGTTAAAGTTGCTTTTACATAGAAAACCAGATCTTGTATTTTACTTTCACTCAAGGTCAAAGTGTTTGTCATATGCACAGTTAGGAAACATGTTTCTCTCTACAATGAAATTCTTACTTTGCCGTCCACATGAATGCCACATAATACAAGTGAAATATAAAGTAGATGAGCAATAACACAAATCTAAATAGGCAGTAACACAAATCTAAGGCACTTCAAAGCAGAAAGTGAAAGAAGCACATTAAAAATACAAGAACACAATATAATGCAGAGAATATATGCTACGTGGGAGCCGTGGAATGCAAATATTCAGCAGTGAGTGCAATTATGCATGTGCAAAATGAGTATGTACAGATGGAATTACATGAGGTAGATCCTGAGTC